CTTAGGGACATGGTTTAGTGGGCATGGTGGTGTTGGGTTGACGGTTGGACTCGATGATCTTAGAGGTCTTTTCCAACCTCAATGATTCTATGATTCTATGATTCTATGATTCTATCTCACTGGTCTCCCCGTGAGTCAGGGCTCGCTGGGTCTTCCTGTCATGTTGGTGACATTGCAATAGACTGAGGAAAGAAGGAATAGTCTGGGAGGACATAACTCCTGTGACTTAGGTGAGGCAGGGATGCAGGCAGAGACATCTTGCCCTTTCAGAGCCAGCTGACAATGAAAAGCCAGACTTGCCAGCCTGTTTGCTGTCTTCTAGATGAGGTGTATGTGCCTTTCACATATGCCGTGGCTCCCATCAGGCCCATCCCATCCTTTTCTTTTTGCAGGAATCTGATGGGAGCTGGGCAGTACATCCCCCAACCTTGTCCTAATGGATATCGAATGCACTGGCAGGTCCTGCAGCATGTGGTTTCAGTGAACCAGCACTGATGCACAGAGCAAGCAGACTGCTGCTGACACAAATTTCTGAAGATTTAACCCCTGCCCTGTCTTGTGGGTTTCCTCAGGAATTTTCAGATGAGTTACTTTTCACAGGGAAGGAAATTCATGTCAAACATCAGCCTCGCTTTTGGGTTGGAAAAGAATCCCTGTTACAACCAGAAGCTGTGACACAAATGCATTTATTTTATTATTTATTCAGTGCATTTACATGATACTCATTTCTTACTTTCCATCCCCACAGGTATAGTACTGCACATTTGTGTATCGTGCACTCGGTATTGTGGGAAACAGCTTAACATTTTTCTTTACTGAGTTTCAGTCAGATAACCGGCTAACTGCTCTGCACTACAGAATGAAGAAAACAATTAAGAAACCTTTTCTCTAGTGGTGATTTGAACTTTTTCTGGAGTTTAATTTTGGGTTTTTCCCCTCAGAAACAAGGAAGAAGAAAGTGCCGTTGGAGCTATTTACTGTAAGAAGATAGACGATTTGCTCCAGCAGTCAGATTTTGTGTTGCTGTCTGTGAACCTGACTCCACAGACACACAAACTGATTGGGAAGAGGGAGCTGGAGCTGATGAAACCCACAGCTACTCTCATTAATATCAGCAGAGGTAGGGTGCAGAATAAACAAAACTGCATTATGGTTTGCTGGCATAAAAAGTCCTGGGAAACCCCAACCCTAATATAGAGTCTGTCACTCTGAAATTTTCAGTAAATTCTCTGATTACTAGATTATATAGATGTCCGTGGCCATACCTCAGCAAAACATTTAAGCATTTCCATAATTATGAGCAAGTAGGTCTCTAAAATGTTAGTGAGCTTGGAGTGTTAGAAGCCCATGTATATTTGTATAATCTCCTACTTAAGCTTTTTATTTATTTAGTGAAGTGTTGTTGCTAACATACATCAGGGTGGCACAGCCCACTCTGAAATCTGGCACTGTACTTCGTTTTATGGTGCTACGTGCTGCCTTTTAAAATTCCTGAGTATCCCACTCTGATGCACGTACCCAAGCTTCCTCCTCCTGCTTCACCACCCTCTCTCTGCTGCTGCTTCTGCTTTGTGAACATCGCTCGCCCTGCCGTTTGCTTGACCACCATGCCCAAAAGGATGGTGAGAGAACAGTACGGAACATGAAAATATTCCTTCTTACTGTAACCCAGGTCTGGTTGTGGATCAGGATGCTTTGGTGGAAGCCCTTCAGAACAAAGTTATTAAGGCAGCTGCTCTGGATGTGACATATCCTGAACCTTTGCCAAGGTAGGACATTTATTTAAGTTAAATATAAATGAGTGTATGTGTGTGGTTCAAATTAAGTACAAGTTTGTGAGCATGTGAGAAGTAACATAATTTTGTTAGTAGGAGTACATGATGTATGTGCACTAGTCCTACTGAAACGATGTCCCCAATCCTTCCGTCCTTGCCAAACAAAATTCACACTGACTCATTTGGAGGATTTGTTGTATTAAAAAACCACAAGCTAGGCAGCAGTTTGAACTCTTCTGAGTATGGGTTATGCAATTAGTTTTTATTTTTAATTATTATTTTAAATATTTCCCTGTCTCCCTTCAGGTGACAAAATGACAGATGAATGCTCTGTGAGTGACTAGCTCAGTATTTCTTTTCCTTTCCCAGGGATCACCCTTTGTTAAAGCTGAAGAATGTTATAGTAACTCCTCACATTGGAAGTGCCACCAAAAAGACACGCCGCCTTATGATGGAAAACATGACGGAAAGCATACAAGCAGGTCTTACAGGTCTTCCTATCCCTAATGAAGTATTCTTTAAAGCGGCCTGCATTTAATGTTAATGCCATTAGTGTGTATTCTGGTGTAAGGAAACAGTAATTTGATCACTCTTCATGTAATTATCCCATGTGTGTTATACAGATAAAATGTATAATGCATGGGTTTAATTTATTGAAATAACCAGAAGTGATTCTGCGTGGAAAACTGCAGTATTTTGTCATGAACTTCAATAAAAAACTCAAGAGTCCATAGTCTTGCATCGGTGTAATTTATTTTGCTCACATCCTCTTAAAATTGCCCATCAATGTAACGCCGAATGGAAGGATGTTTAAATTGTATTCTAGTGCCACCGACAAACTACGTGGCACAGCAAAACGCTGTCGGTAGGTTAGACCGGCTGCTCCTGACGCTCCAGCAGCAAGGCTTATCTGTGGGGAACAGTCTGCAAGGCCTTTGCTGGGGTAGCCCTTTAATGGAAACGCAGCAACCAGGTTTATTTCCACTTCCAAGACAACTCGCTTATCCAAATAACAGAGCCTGCGCATAGCTACGCCTGCACGGAGCTTGGCATAGCTATACATAGCGTGTGTATGAGTTTTCCCCCAGCCCGGGCCCTGAGGCTCGCCTGTGCCCGAGGGCAGCTCAGCCTCCCTCCTTCCCTCCCGGGGCCGGCAGGACCACTC